GCTTTGTGCTTAGCTACAAACAAACAAACAAACACCAATACATTTTATTACTTAATGTGATTCATTCAAACCATCCATTCTCGTTTTTTGGTGATATTCATGTATGATTATAAGGCTTAAGTCCTAGTAGATTGAAATCTCTTTAAATTATAACTGTTTAAAAAAAACAGATTCTAACGTTTTTCACGACACGTGTTCGGTGTTACTAAAATAAATGCAATAGTTGAAAGCTAACTGTGACATCAGTAAGATGAATTATTTATATTACTACTAAAAGTCAGTTTAATTAAAGAACACAATCATGCTGGTTGAATATAAATTGGTGAGCTTTGAAAATGTTCGATATGGCTCGATACGATATTTATTAACATAACTCTACTTCTACGTGCAGCCATTATTTAAGCTTCTAAGTAGCGAAAAGAAGCAGATTAAAGCATCGTTTATATTCAGCTTGAATATCGTCTATAAAATGAAATAAATGTATCAGTTACATTTTATTGTACAACATTTACATATCTATTAAAATTCCAACTTTTGTTTCAAAACGACGGCTTTAAACTAATTTTGTTTTAACAATGCGTTTATTAAAATATCTATTTTCCTAAATATTTCTCGGAATTAAACTTCCTGAATAACTCTCTAATGATTGTTAAGGTTAACCAAATGCCTCGTCATCTAATTAGGGACTCGCATGAATGGATTAACGAGATTCCCACTGGCTCTATCTACTATCTAGCGAAATCACAGCTAAGGGAAAGAGCTAGGAGGAATTAGTTATTTTCAGTTACGAGTGTATATTATTATTATTTGCCTATATCCAACTTATATCTTATTTTATTTTGTATATAACTATTGGCTCAATTGTATCTAAGTATTCACCTATGTATGAGTCTGTTTATCCATACTAAATAATATGTTTAATTATTTCTCTTCAACGAATAAATTATCTGTGAGTATTATCATTTACTCATACTTATATATATATCTTTATCTTCCTACTTCTCAGTTCTCAACTATCTACTTCTCTTGTTTTTTATACTAAACTTCCAGTGTGTTTATTTGTTTTATTAAACCATCTCTATGTGTTAACATTTAGTCATTATCAGGTTTGAACATAACGCCAAGTTGTGCTGCAACCACAAACGACAATAATAAAAAGTAATGACAAAGTTAGAAAAAACTACTTCACTCTCTATATAATAATAAACTTGATGATGATAAAACCTTGTCGAAACGTTGTACATTTGCTGTTATGTTAACCTTACATTAAAGTTTTTTCTTCTTTATCCATTCAAGCCGTCTTCAAGCCGATGAAGCCACTATGATGAAACGATAGCTGAAATAAAAAGTTTTTGTTTTTTTTATTTGGAGAGTAAAGGCATTTATTTCTTATTTTATTGCCAAAATGTCTAAATTTCTTCAGGATAC